CAGTTGAGCAGATGGGCAGTCAACTTCAAATGGCTTCAGGGAATCATCCCGAAGCCAACGGACAGGCCGAGCAAATGAATAGAGTTGTACAACACTTGCTGAGGCATTACATCAAGCCCAGCCAGGATGATTGGGATGAGAAGTTGCCTCTCATCGCTAGCCTGTACAACAACGCTGTACACAGCAGTACCGGCGTTAGTCCTAACCAGCTGCACTTGGGATGGAAGCCTAGATCTGCTCTAGACTTCCTCCTACCTGAAAACCAATCCTCTGCAACTCCAGGCACACTTGAGTCTGGTGTGCAGTATGAGAAGTTGCTGCAGCAAGCTGTCGAGTATATTAAGAAAACTCAGCAAGCAATGATTGCTTCGAAGAACAAGCATCGACGACAGTCCTCATTTCAGGTAGGGGCACGTGTCTGGGTCAAGTCTAGTGAGCTAGGACAGGAATTCGGTATCTCTAGAAAACTAATGCCTCAGTACTTTGGTCCTTGGGAAGTCCTGGATGTAGTGGGGGATGAGATGGATGGTCCTACCTATGTTATACGTATCCCTGGACACCTACTCACTCACCCTGTCTTTCATGCCTCAAAGCTTGCACCTTTCGCTTAGACTGATCAATTCCCTTCAAGGAGATCGATGCTGCCCCCAACCATGGATGGTCAAGTGGACATTGACGACATTGTGGATCACAGAGATCTGCCTGTTCAGAAGCCATTGGGTAGAGGAAGACCTCCTAAACCCAAGAGAGAATATCGCGTTAGATTCAGGCATCATACGGATCCAAAGGAAGACCGGTGGTTCACCAGAGAGGAACTGATTGACACAGCTCCTCGGGTGGTGGCAGAATATGAGAGGAAGCTGAAAGGGAAGGCGCCTGCGAAGTAAGCATCTCAGCGGACTTCCGAAGCTAAGGGGGATGGAATGTGAGGATTGAGCCCTCAAGAAGGGGCCTTGCCATGATGTACATGTTCTGGGCTAAGGCCCCAGCAAGCCTCGTGCCCGCCCTAAGTGAAGGCGGGCCAACAAATCAACAAGAGCGCTCTGTGCGAACATTTCACGAAGTGGGGTCCATACAGTTGCAGCACGCCAGTTGGTTGGAGTGCACCGAGTCTCGGATCTCTTCAAATGCGGAAATCCCAGGGCCTTTGAGTTGGTTAGGCCCTGGGCACTTGAACGAGAGGCCGACAATGCATGCTGGGTATAGAGGCCGAAAATGCCAAAGGGAAATCGGCCCACTATCTGAATCTGGCCGCAGGCCTTGACGAAAGAGGCGCAACTGCATCCTGGGCCTCAACTGCATCGGGCCTGTGTTCAGGCACTGAGGCCCAGACGCAGGCTGAAGGGAGGCCGCCCACATGCAACACTGGCATATAGGCAAGCAGGGCGAGTGGGCAGGGATCTTGGCCATTGCGGGCACTGCCGGCATGCTGCGCGAATGCGAGCTGCTGTGCTGCACTAAGGCTGAGGGAGCAGGCTAGCGCTAAAGCGGTAGGGCGCTGCCTGTGTGCGCAGGGCACTGGCGGCCATAGCCGGGCTGTTTGTGTGCGCAGTGGAGGTGAGGGCGAAGGTGGTACTTCGGAGGTGAAGGGCGCTGTGTGGGATAACAAGGGAGAGTGTGGGTGAAGGAGGAGACGTACCTGGTGGAGGTGGAGGTCGGCATTGGTGTTGACATCATCACTCGCTGGTCGTCAAGTTGTCTGGTTGCTTTCATTGCTGTAGTTGTAGGTTTAGGCTGTAGAGTAGATAGGGCGCCTGGCGCCATTCAGAAGAGAGAGCTACATTGGGTTATGCTGTTGGTGTTGCCCTGTTGGGCTTGGACATTGACTCACGATTCTTCTGTATCATTCTCAAATTGATGGTTACTCAGTTCCATTGTCCTATCTGCTCTTGCTTTGAGTACTTGGACTTCAGTGTGAATTTGAAATCTGGATTTCTGTGCTTTGTCCATATTCATGTTCCTTGCAATCCAAGGTACTGCTTAGAGGGCTTCAAAGGTCAGAGCAAGGGTCTATAACTGGGAGTCAAACGAAAATATGAGAGGTTTCTTTTTCCGTTAGTAAAAGCTGACTGTAGGAATAAAGGTGCCCCGGAAAGAGGACTGCAAAACGATCATGGTGAACCCGCTGATATGGGAAAAATGTGACAAGAACTTGGGACTGCAATGCCGGATTAACCTTTTCCTCGCGGATTCATGGTAGCAGATGCTTATCTGACAGGCTTGACCCGGTCAAGGCTGAGTTGAATCTCCTATGTAAGGGCAAGCTAGTCAATCCTCTACAGAACTTTCTTTGTTTCATGGGTGTTTTGCTGGCTTGTGATGGGGTGTGAACCGACAGTCTGTAGAGTTTTCCATCAGGTGTGGGTGAGTGATAGTCTGCTTTGATTTTCGTCACAGGTACGTTGAGGGCAGTGGTTGGTGCCCACCTCGGGGTATTGATTTTCGTACAGGTACCTTGAGGGCAGTGGTTGGTGCCCACCTCACGACTTCTCTAGCACCCTGCTACAGTTTTCTCCTGTCAGGTCGAGCGGCAGTGGTCGGGGCCGTCATTATGCGGCCATGCTGGGCCTCTAGTGCCAGCGGCATGTCTGGAGTGTATTTTTTGGCTGTGACAGACCTTTCTTCGTTTCATGGGTGTTTTCCTGGCTTGTGATGGGGTGTGAACCGACAGTCTGTAGAGTTTTCCATCTGGTGTGGGTGAGTGTAGTCTGCTTTGATTTTCGTCACAGGTACCTTGAGGGCAGTGGCTGGTGCCCACCTCAGGGTATCAGTTGTCGGGCAGTCGTTGATGCTTAACCACAGTCTGCGTTAAGGTGGATTATCACTTACAATGTAATCAGTTAGGGGATTCTGCAGACTGTTGAGGGTTCAGCCTCCTGATGAGTCGGTGAAACTCCAATGAAACTGTTTGTCACAGCCCCTCGTTTGTTGTCCTCTTCCCCCTCTCTGACTACGGTTTACCAGGCAGCAGCATCATATGTATACATATTTGAATAATTTGATATTTAAAAAAAATAGATACGTTAAGCAGCATTATAATACAAGCAAAATTTGCTGGGGATTCATCTCCAAATTCTTAGCCAGGCTTGAGTTAGCCTCCCCGGCGGTTTAAGAAACCCAAAAAGACAAACTTCTTGAGAAAAAGATGCGTACTCTCGTATGCATCCATGTGCACGTGTGGAGTATTGGAATACTTGTGCTCATGTCCGTGAGACCCGCGTACATGTGTGCTGTGCTACCGGGTTTGTATTTTCTCTCTCAACTTTCTTTTCTTAACGTCAGCGAAGAAGCAACAGTGAATTATGGGAGTGTTGCAAAACAGTACTTGCGGCGAATTATGGGAGTGTTGCAAAACAGTACTTGCAGCATTGTATGGGTATGCCATTTTGAGTTTGCATTTGTGATAGAGGAAAGGAAACTCTTGAATAGGAATGGCGATCCAAGGAGAGGAGAACGGAAAGCACAACTGCAGCACGGAGCCATTTTGTGTTCAGGAACAGGAGGAAGTGGAGTTGCACGCAGCCCATGTGACTGGATGGTAAACACATGTAAGAGTTCATAAACAGATCACAAGTTCGAGTCCTGAATACAATGATGTTAGGGCTACACCCCTTGGACAAAAGAATAGGTGGTCGGCCATAAGGGCACATGTTCATTCTAGGGCATCATAGCAGCAGTCTAAGCAATCAGGAAGATCTCAACCCTACTTTTAGCAGAAGTCTGCGGGGAACCTGTCTAGAACTGTAGCTAAGGTAGGGATGAGATAGGGATGAGATAATTGAGTGTACTGGACCTCGACCAGGCAGTATGGTAGATCCGGGCCCTGTGATGGGCACAGCAACACAGTGACTGTTCAGACTCCGTGAGTCCATGGCTTAGGCCAGTACTTTTTGCATCTGCTTATTAAGTTATTATTGATGCAATAACTCTGCTCCAGGTCAAAATCGGCCTTCAAAGGCCCAACGTGAGGTTGTTGACTTTTTCAAAGTCTGCAGTCAACCTCAGCTCGGGATACAGGCCCACGAGTCACTCTGGTTGTTTGCAGGTATCCGGAAGAGATCCATCCCAAGTGGGACACATCGGTTTCTGCAACTGTATGAAATCCAGCCCATTGGCTGACGGACGATCTGGGCCATTGTACACGAGAGACTAGAGGCTGGTCAACGCACGTCAACGCTATAAATTGACCCAGCCCCTAATGGACGACATTAAGTCTTGTGCGTGTTGCTGAATGCTGGCTTGATGTTGGCGCAATGACGCGAGACTGCCAGAACATTATGCGGGCGCCATGCTCTGCTTGCGGCGCCAGCCTTCAGACAATTATGCTGACGTGGCCCTTGCCACACTGATTACGACACTGTTGGAGTATGGGGGCGAGGAGGAGGAGGATCAGGGCTGTGAGATTGGACGGATGTGGAAGGGAAGCTTACCTGTTTGTGATCGTGTCATCATTGTGCACCTGCTGTACGTCTTCAGGGGAGAATCTGCACCGTCCTCCCAGGCGGCTGCTGACGTGGCTGGAGGATGGGCGCCCTGTGGTGAACTGCTTGATGTCGGAGTTCGTCAGGGGAAGACTGTTTGCTGACTTGGCGAGTTGGGAGACACCCGAAGAGGAAGTGGGCTTGCGAGGGGACTCCGTTCAACGATGATGATGGAATCTCTCTCCTCCACCCTCTAAGTCTCTTCTCCCTCTCTCGTCATCTTCTTCTCTGTGTACGGGACATTGAGATATATTGACGACAAGTATGCTTTCATGTACGATTTTTGGAGACATTGATTATGTGTTGAGACACTCTGTATTTCGACATTGACAAGCTTCTTGTGAAACTGGGTTCATTGCCTTGATGTCATCATCTTGCCATGGCTGCGTCTGAGCAGTTCAAACTTGTTATCCAAGTAAGTAGTTGAACTGAAGGGGAAACAGGGCTGTACGATGTATAACTTGCTGACTGTTTTGATGTCATGGGTGATGATGGTATGGTCTGCGTTTCAATTTCCAGATGTTCCCCGTGGCAGTCACTTGTGGCAATACCTTCATTCTAAAGCCGTCAGAGAAAGTTCCCGGTAAGAACTTGTGGCAAGCCTGCACACAAGCTAGTGCATTACGTGATTGGCACAAATCATACTTTTATTGCTTGCAATATTTACCAGATTCCTTGCAAGAAGCAGCAATGATATCAATCCGCTAAGAGATTTCCTGCCCTCCCTCCCTTCCTACCGTGTGTGATGCAATGGGCCGTTGGATCACTGGTTACCACCCTGGGTATGGGACTATCAATTTTCTTTCCCGAGTGGGGTTCTTGTACTCGCCCTCTTTCTCAAGTTGACTGCTTTCTGTTGTGGTTGCCATGGGACTACCAGCTTCTCTCCTTCCTTAAAATTTGGACCATTTCTGGATTTATGCGTGTCATCCTTGTGCAGGGGCCATGCTAATCTTCTCTGTATCGTTCCAATTTTAACAGATGTCCCGTTTTTGCTAAATTTTGTTCCCGACTTCCAAGAGAACACCAGGTACTTTGAGCAAAGGTGGACATCCTCTTGTGTTATCGGAATGCTCCACGTGCTGTATGATGTCATGAGGGGCATTTCTGACCCACCGAGATAAGCCCAAATTTGGACTGTTATATGTTTTCCATGGTTTCCAATGTTTTAGAGCTAGGATAACTCTCTGGGCGTCCACGCTTCCTCTGGCTGCCTGGAATCCCCGGTCGGGCAAGGTCCCAAAGTCCCAGCCTTGTCCTCGGCAGCCCCAGCACGCCATTGAAAAACTTAAAAAAAAAATAGCCGGAAAATTATGAAAAACAAACATGTTGTGTAGAATTGCAATGCAAATAACTCCCTCCCCCCCCAAAGACCGGGAGCATCACCCGGCTTAGCTTTGTCTATACTCTTACTAAAGCGTGCAGCGGGTCTCGTGTGATGCCCCCGTGAGGCCCGGCTGCTGCTGTTGGGAAAAACCGGCAGGATGGGGGCTGGGCCCAATGGTGATCCTTCGGGGCGCTTTGTAGGCCGCACTGGCTGGCGGGTTGCGAATGGCCTGCCGGCGGGAGGTTTGTGTAGTTTCCTCAGGTAGCAGACATGGCCTTTTTTTTTTTTTTTCCTGTCGTTTTGTGGTGCAGACAGCTGGCAGACGTGACCATAAGGGCCTGGATCTACTACTCACGACATGTGCAAAATGACAATAACCTTACACTAGAACATGGGAAGATACACCATCATATTGTGCATGCCGTGAGTAGTGGAGGGAGGCGTGTGTATATTTCCATGTTCTACCAGAAGATTCATTCTCTTTTTTTTTTTTTTTTTTTTTTTTTTCTTTTAAAAACT